CATGTAGCTGCTTCCATTGGCTTTCTTGTCTTAGATGATTTCCAAAAGTATGACTGAGAATCCAACTCAAAACAATTATTACAAACACCAGCCTTAACAGGTTCTCAGTTATTTTCTGTTCCCCTTTTAGACTTTAGTCTCCATTTCTGAGTAATCAGTATTTCATGCATCAGCACAAGAGATAAACTCAAGAGAGGAAGGTACCATAGCTTATTGTTACAGTGGATCCATAATTGTTAATATCATAATCATTGTTAAATTCACGATTATACAATCCTTATCATTTTTATTAAAGAACCTACCAAAAACTTGAAGTGTTACTGAAGAATTTATTGTATCTGCTTTGTTTTCTGCCGTGCACTCATATAGTCCTTCCATTTCCTTTGCTGTGTTTGGCATTTCCAGGAATGATTCCACGAATGAGTCTCCCTCAACATTGGTTTGATTATTACCAAATGGAAGTTTACCACCATCAAATGTCCAGGTCACTTTTGGTGTTGGAACACCTGAGGCACGGCAAGTAAAGTTGACAGGGTCTCCATTGATAACAGATTGCTTTACTGGAGACAATATAATCTGAGGAGACACTACAAATAAAAAAAGAAGACCAATAATCTTCAACCAAGGTTATCAACTGAAGATACAACTGGACAACCAGCGCTGCATGGTTATTTTGCAGTGACCAGATTTTAGAATCCACTCACTACATGTATTAATTTTTATGGGATAAGAGACATTATCTTCATACTGTGCATGAGAATGGATAGAAGATATCACATTTCTACTGTGTAAGTTTCCCTACCCCCACAAGATATGATTTACATGAGAATATTACTTGTTATCAACATAATTATGGTGACTTTCCATTCCTTTTCTAGATATCAATATTAGCGAGGTATTCGAATCAAAGACAAATGAATAAATTGGGCTCGTTAATTATTAAAAACTAGATCATTGGATAATGCAATTCAAGACTTTTTATATTCAACACAAAATAATCAAACACAAAAATAAAGCAAGCAGGTATTTCAGTTTCTTCACATTCGAAAGTTATCCAGTTTCTTCCTGTCAAGCCAAATGCAGTTCCAGAAAGGTTGATAAACATTAAAAATGCTGAAGTTAATTGGAATTTGACTTACCAGTTACATCGATCCAGAAGGTGGTGTAATTTTTTCCAGCCACATTTTCAGCAGCACATTTATAGATACCTTCATCATCAAAAGTCACCCACTTAATGACTAATGTGTTGCTGTTACCTGCAAGAGCTTCTCCATTCTTGGTCCAATTGACAGATACTGGAGGATCACCCCTTACATAACAAGCTGATGTAAATGTGGAGTTCATTGGAACTGAATGATT